AACACTGGAAGTTGTCATCCAGTTGTAAAGCTGGTCATACACTGCCATAACTAGATTGAACAGGGTTGTTTTATATACTGTACAGTATGTCTGTAGTACTGATAGAAAAAGAGAAGTATCACAAAAAATATAAAAATATATATTTTTTATGTATATTTTTACAATTTTATGACGGTTTTCCATTCAAATGACAAAACCAAAGTCTTTTACATGATCAAATGGAATTTAGTGTGCTATCTGTAAAGCAGAATGTGTTTGGCAACTGATTGAAAGGGGAATTAAAGAGGTTTTCCAGGTTTCTCTGCAAAATAAAAGTTACAAATAATTTTTAAATTTTCATAAAGTTTTTCTCAAAATTTTTGAATAAAAGCACCATGAAGATGAGTATACAACGTGACATCATACAAGCATTTGTAGGTAAAGGCCAGTGTTAATGTCGTTGACTAAAATATTTTTGGGGAAATTAACACTATTTTTAGTTGACTAAAATACGACTAAAACTAAAAGAATTGAGATGACTAAAAGATGACTAAAACTAAAACAATTCCGATGACTAAAAGATGACTAAAACTAAAAGAATTCAGATGACTAAAAGAAGACTAAAACTAAAACAATTCAGATGACTAAATTACGACTAAAACTAAAAGAATTCAGATGACTAAAAGACGACTAAAACTAAAACAATTGAGATGACTAAAACTAAAACTAAAACAATTCAGATGACTAAAAGACAACTAAAACAACTGAGATGACTAAAATAGGACTAAAACTAAAACAATTCAGATGACTAAAATACGACTAAAACTAAAACAATTCAGATGACTAAAAGACGACTAAAACTTAAACAATTCAGATGACTAAAAGACGACTAAAACTAAAACAATTCAGATGACTAAAATACGACTAAAGCTAAAACAATTCAGATGACTAAAATACGACTAAAACTAAAACAATTCAGATGACTAAAATACGACTAAAACTAAAACAATTGAGATGACTAAAATACGACTAAAACTGAAACAATTGAGATGACTAAAATACGACTAAAACTAAAATAATTGAGATGACTAAAAGACGACTAAAACTAAAACAATTGAGATGACTAAAAGACAACTAAAACTAAAACAACTGAGATGACTAAAATAGGACTAAAACTAAAACAATTCAGATGACTAAAATACGACTAAAACTAAAACAATTCAGATGACTAAAATACGACTAAAACTAAAACAATTCAGATGACTAAAATACGACTAAAGCTAAAACAATTCAGATGACTAAAATACGACTAAAACTAAAACAATTCAGATGACTAAAAGACGACTAAAACTAAAAACAATTGAGATGACTAAAATACGACTAAAACTGAAACAATTGAGATGACTAAAATACGACTAAAACTAAAATAATTGAGATGACTAAAAGACGACTAAAACTAAAACAATTGAGATGACTAAAAGACAACTAAAACTAAAAATTCAACTGAGATGACTAAAATAGGACTAAAACTAAAACAATTCAGATGACTAAAAGACGGCTAAAACTAAAACAATTCAGATGACTAAAAGACGACTAAAACAATTCAGATGACTAAAATACGACTAAAACTAAAACAATTCAGATGACTAAAATACGACTAAAACTAAAACAATTCAGATGACTAAAAGACGACGAATAAAACTAAAACAATTCAGATGACTAAAAGACGACTAAAACTAAAACAATTCAGATGACTAAAATACGACTAAAACTAAAATAATTCAGATTACTAAAAATATGAATAAAACTAAAACAATTCAGATGACTAAAAGACAACTAAAACTAAAACAATTCAGATGACTGAAAGACGACTAAAACTAAAACAATTCAGATGACTAAAAGACGACTAAAACTAAAACAATTCAGATGACTAAAATACGACTAAAACTAAAATGGCATTTTAGTCAAAAGACTGACTAAAACTAAAACGAAATTTGACGTCAAAATTAACACTGGTGAAGGCACATGCACAGATTCCCAAAGAATCCAAGAACAGAACCAAAAAGTCATAAACAGTTGGACATCAATATTAGGTGGTCAAGAGAGAAAAGTTGAACAGACATTGTCCCCAATCAGTCCTGCAGAGGTCATTGTCTCTCATGGCTTTTGTCTAGGTCAGCCATTCTCAATCACGGTTCCGTAGAACCCTAGAGTTCCTCCAGTTTTGGCTAGGGGTTCCTTGTTGTGGCTAACTGTCCTCCCGTCTGATGGTGCCTGCATAGTTCCAGGTCCAATGCTACTTGTTAGAGCCAGTTGCATGACTGCAAGGTTATCATTCTGGCCACCCCTCTAAGGGTAGCATTCTTCATACTTACCACCACCAACATAAGGAGTATTTTCCATTGACCCCCGAAGGACTAATCTTACTAGGGGTTCCCTGAGATCTGAACCTTATTTCAAAGGTTCCTCTGGGTTAAAAAGGTTGAGAAAGGCTGGTCTAAGCAGAGTCTATATCCTGACCTCCATCCTAAAGCTGGCCATACCCATTACAAAAATTTTATTACAAAATATATGAAAAATATTTTTAAAAATACTATTCATATATATTGTATGTCTTTATAAATACAAATTTACGTTTTAGGAATGCATTTACAAATATATTATTATTATACAGTATTTATGAAGCGCCAATGGTTCGTTCAGTGCTGTACATTACAAAGGGGGACAGAACATGTGACAGAACAATACCAATACAATGCAAAACATGAGGGGATCGAGGGCCCTGCTCTTTCGAGCTTACAATCTAGGAAAAATATATGTAAAAAATGACTTTTTTTATATGTTAAAAAAAATCTGAAGACTATATTTAAAAAAAAATCTGAAGAATATATTTAAAAATATATATTTTTAAAAATATATTTTTTTTATATATATTTCTTCAGATTTTTTTTAACATATAAAAAAGTCATTTTAATATATATTTTTACATATATTTGTAAATGCATTCCAAAAATGCAGATCTGTATTTTTAAAGACATACAGTATATTTGAAATGTATTTTAAAAAATATTTTTCATATATTTTGTAATACAAACGCATTTCAACATGCAGTATATGCATATATATATATATATATATTTATTTACTTTATTTTTTTTTTAAAATATATTGCATATTGAAATGTAGCATTTCAAATATATGTCAATATATTTGGGAAGAATATTTTTAAAATATATTTTTTCCATATGGGTAGCTGTATCAAAATTTGGCTGGTTTAGCAGGGAGCAGCCGAATTTCAATACAACAGTGGCCATTTCTGTTCCTGAGAAGTCGATTTAACGATCAACTTTTCAGGAATGGGCTTGTTGGAAAATTTGTGTTCAGCTCTGATCAGTGGAGGAATCCCCACTGTCAGGATGCTATAACACAGCGTGGAGGATTCTTCCATCCACCTCTCTTGTGTGAATGGGGGAACCTGGTCAGTTTTTTATCGATCAGCCCGCTGGTTTTTTTGAAAAAACGGATCCATCTATGGCCAGCCTAAAGTTGTCCATGCACTGGTGGATTTGAAGGTCAGTCGAAAGTACTTCAAAATTTCATTTGTTTTTAACATTCAATTTTGGGTTGAATGGACTTTCCTGAATAAAAACCACCTTCACTTTTAGAATTTCATTCATCTGAGAAAAATTTTCCATCCAGGTCCTTAGAATTTTCTCTTAGCTGTCGTTGAAAAAAGAATGTTGATTTCACCCCATGAGCGAATAGAAAATCAAACAAACGTTCCTAAAACAAAAACATTACAAATTAAATTCTACTAGTGTATGGCCAGCTTAATGTTCGACCTGCGAGATCTAAAGAAGGTTATGCAGGTCCTACTCCCCTGGGAACTCAGACAGGTTGTGTAATAAAGAAAGAAGGGAAAAGTAGAAAGAAAAAGCAAGAAAGAGACATAAAGAAAGGGGAAAGGAGGGGGGACCAGTAGTCAGGGACATGGGAATGGGGTGATTTCATGAGGTCGCATATCTACAGGAGTACATAGCAGGTAGATGAAATGCCAGAGAGTCCCTCAATTTGATAGTTCTTGAGCAGTGGGGGGGTCAAAGAAATCACCTTCTCCAGTTGAAATAACTCAGTGATCCATTCACTGAGGGGCTTGCATTGTATTCTTATATTCATTAGAGGATCTGTAATGTAACAATCTTTAAATTGTTCACACAAGCAGTGGTAATAGCAGGTGAGCCACAGTTATACTGCCCCCAACCACAACCATAACCGTAATCTAGGACATGCGGAAACTCAGGACCGTACACATGCCATGGCAAAGTGGAAATGTATTGTAGCAACTTTTTCATATAGAGATCTGTCGCTCCTTACAGCATTTAGTTTAGGAAAAATGATCAACAACAAAAAATGATGTTGTTCCTTTTCACTCTCCACTTTATGCAGTGCAATACATCCTTTAGACCTCGGTCCGTTCAGCCAGTATGGTTACCTGCTGAATAAGCACCCTCCACAGACAGCTTAACTCTCCAATAAGACACAGCAGTTTAATCCAACACAATTTTACTTGTTAAGATGCAGTACATGGAATGTTCACTGGTCATTTGATGTGAAAGAGACACTTATCCTTTTAGCCCTATACCTGCTATGAAGGATGGTAACTTACTAAGGGATGATGAAGAAGAAGGGAGGGGGGGATGTCTAAGGACTAAACCAACAAGCCCCAAGATAGAGGTAAACTGGATTGAGCCATTTACAGATATAAAAATAAGTTGTACTACAATGAATTACTACTAGATGTCACCAACAAGACATTTATACATACAAAATGAACAGTCATGGATACACGATAAGTGTTCCAGGAACAGCTGTCTTATTTAGCAATGGCTATTAGTTTTCAATTTTTGAGCTTGGGAAATATTATACTGAAAACTGGAAAACCTCTTTAAATTGCAATTAGATTCTGTCCCCTCTCCTTTACTGCCTGGGACTAACTCCTCTTGGTGTTTGGTTCTTATAAGAGGCTGTAGTGGTGATCTTAGAGCGTGACCAGATCATGCCGCGCAGGGGGTGCACTGTGTCTGAGGACCTCAGGCTGGCACTCTCCCTGTCTCGATCTGACTCTGAAGTGAGGTGGTACAAGGACGGCGAGCGGCTGAAAGACAATCCGCACATACTAGTGGAGGAGAGGGGAGCAGAGTGCTCACTGACCATCCTGGGAGCGTCGGGTGATGACGCTGGCGAATATCTATGTGATGCCCGCAACGAGAGCTTCAGCTTTTATGTCACTGTGGGAGGTAACAGGAGAGACGAAGAGGCACTGCAACCAACACCCTGACACCCCCTCCCCACCCTGCATCCCCCCCCATAAATATTTCCTATTCCTTCACCTCTCCTCTCCTGCCACCCCTCTACTGAGCTTCTCCTATATGTTAAAGGTCAGCTCCACCCATCAAAATCTGCTGGATGTTATCATTTTTAAAACAGTCTTCCACCTTTTTTTAAATTAGGAGATGACAGGCTGATATGCTAATGAAATGAAAATGAAACTAATTGGGTCAACCGTTGCTCAAACAGGCTTTTATTAAAAGTATAGTCTAGTCAGAATTAAAGTAGCAAACTGGTGATCCTGGAACACATTTGCCAATGATGCTGGAACACATCTGCCAGATATGCTGGAACACATCTATTGGTGATGCTGGAACACATCTACTGTGATCCAGGAACACATCTACCAGGGATGCTGGAACACATCTGCTGGTGATGCTGGAACACATCTGCTGTGATCCAGGAACACATCTGCCAATGATGCTGGAACACATCTGCCAGAGATGCTGGAGCACATCTGCTGTGATCCAGGAACACATCTTCCAGGGATGCTGGAATACATCTGCTGGGGATGCTAGAACACATCTGCTGGAGATGCTGGAACATATCTGTTGTGATTCAGGAACACATCTGCTGGAGATGCTGGAACATATCTAACAGTTGCTGAAACACATCTGGTGATGCTGGAACACATCTGCCGTGATTTGGGGTCACATCTGCTGAGATCCAGGAAAACATCTGCTGTGATCCAGAAAAACATCTGCTTGTGATGCTGGAACATATCGCCTGGTGATGCTGGAACACATCTGCTGTAAACCAGGAAAACATCTGCTATGATTCAGGAAAACATAATGCTGGAACACATCTACTGGTGATGCTGGAACACATTTGCTGTGGTCCAGTAACACATCTGCTGTGATCAAGGGGAACATCTGCTGGTGATACTGGAACACGTTTGCTGTAATCTGGGATCACATTTGCTGAGATCCAGGAAATCACCTGTTGGCGATGCTGGAACACATCTGCTGGTGATGCTGGAACACATCTACTGTGATCCAGGAAAACATAATGCTGGAACTCATCTCCTTATGATGCTAGAACACATCTGCTGTGATCCAGGAAAGCATCTGCTGGCGATGCCGGATCACATCTGCTGGTGCTGCCGCAAAATTCTCTTTTCTGCCTAACTCACATAAAAACCAAGAAAAAAAAAAAAACAGGCTCCAGGAAGAACCCCCTACGCATATAGCTGCATGTACAGGAATTACACAAACTCAGTTTATGGTCAATAGAGTGAATTTCCCCACATTTCTTACACATCCTGTTGTGTCTTTTGGGAGATTTTTCCTGAAGATGTAGCAGGAAGTCATAATAAATCTCTGCAAAGTGAGAGGGAAGCTTTCTTAGACAGCTCTCATCAGAGCAAGTGTCCCCATTGAAAGATTTCTCATCTCCTCCTTTTCTGGCGGCAACTGTAAAATTTTTTAATTATAAAAAATGTTTACATTTCCACTCACTCTCTGTTCCATTGAGGGGCGGACTGACAACTCATGGGGCCCCCGGGCAATAGGGGATCATGGGGCCCCTGTGTCCTTGCCCAAACTCAAAAAAACCTATGAAAAAGGTACCAGGGGCATCACAAGGGCGGACTGACAACTCATGGGGCCCCCCAAGCAATAGAGGATCATGGGGCCCCTGTGTCCTTGCCCAAACTAAAAAAAAAACCTATGAAAAAGGTACCAGGGGCATCTCATGGGACCCCTACTGACCCTGGACCCTCGGGCAGTGCCCGAGTTTCCAAATGGTCAGTCTGCCCCTGGTTCCATTGACAGCGGTCACCAGAACAAATACAGGGGAGTTCATAAAGAATGTCTATGACACTCTCTAGAATGCTGTTGTGCCTCCGCACGACAAATGTCTGTGCCCCAAATTCATGAACCTGATGGAAACCAGTACATGAATTTGAGGCAAGCATCAACATTTGTCATGAGAGGCGGGTCCATATAGACACTCCATCTTCAGTGCAGCTAAGGTCCCTCTCCACTGCTGCAGCTGGGTGGGTGGAGCCTAATGATGATTCAGAGTCACTAGTTCCCCATCAGGTCCACTCTGATTGACACCAGGCAGTGAGTGGATCCATTGCCAATAGACAGCCTTCTATTGACTAGAGAAACTGGCCACTGCCTGCCTTCAATCATAAGTAGAGAGAGGACCTGATGGAGAACTAGTCCCTCAACTTCTTCAGTGATGACAAACATACCGCCCTGCTTTACAGTGTACAGAGATGGGCTCTCTGCCTGTCTTTGTATTAAAGCACAGAGTTGGGCTATATTACCTCAAGTTTTTTAATCCATGAACTGAAGGAAATGTTTGTTTTTAGTTTATATGAAGCCATAGCGCTACTTTGTAAAAGTTGTGCTATTAAGACCCGAATCTGTTGCACGTTTTGGAAACTGTTCTGGACTTGGAGGCAGGTTTTTTTTTAAATCTAATGCAAGACCATGCTTTTGGAATTCCCTCCATCGAGAATATATATATATAGATATATATATGTCTCCAATGGGACATAGACAACTGTAAAAGCCTCGATATATATAAAAAAAATCTTCTAATAATAATATCCTGTGTTATAATAGATAATTGCATTAATCAAGCTGATTTTCTTTGGTAAGGCTGCTCATGTTTACAAGAACAAATTTTGCAGCCTCTAGATCAGTGATGGCGAATCTTTTTGAGACCAAGTGCCCAAACTGCAACCCAAAACCCACTTATTTATCCCGAAGTGCCAACACGGCAATTAAACCTGAATACTGAGGTTTTAGTTTAGAAAAAAACAACCCATACGTTAACATCTTCTGTCTTAAATAAAAACACAATAATAGAGCTCCACTGACCACCAGCACAAGGGGGCAAAGTTCCACTGACCACCAGCACAGGGGGGCAAAGTTCCACTGACCACCAGCACAGGGGGGCAAAGTTCCACTGACCACCAGAACAAGGGGGTAAAGTTCCACTGACCACCAGCACAAGGAGGCAAAGTTCCACTGACCACCAGCACAAGGGGGCAAAGTTCCACTGACCAAAGCAGCACAAGGGGGCAAAGTTCCACTGACCACCAGCACAGGGGGGCAAAGTTCCACTGACCACCAGCACAAGGGGGAAAAGGTCCACTGACCACCAGCACAAGGGGGCAAAGTTCCAATAACCACCAGCACAAGGGGGCAAAGTTCCACTGACCACCAGCACAGGGGGGCAAAGTTCCACTGACCACCAGCACAGGGGGGCAAAGTTCCACTGACCACCAGAACAAGGGGGTAAAGTTCCACTGACCACCAGCACAAGGAGGCAAAGTTCCACTGACCACCAGCACAAGGGGGCAAAGTTCCACTGACCAACAGCACAAGGGGGCAAAGTTCCACTGACCACCAGCACAGGGGGGCAAAGTTCCACTGACCACCAGCACAAGGGGGAAAAAGGTCCACTGACCACCAGCACAAGGGGGCAAAGTTCCAATAACCACCAGCACAAGGAAGCAAAGTTCCACTGAACACCAGCACAAGGAGGCAAAGTTCCACTGACCACCAGCACAGGGGGGCAAAGTTCCACTGACCACCAGCACAAGGGGGAAAAGTTCCACTGACCACCAGCTCAGGGGGGCAAAGTTCCACTGACCACCAGCACAAGGGGGAAAAGGTCCACTGACCACCAGCTCAGGGGGGCAAAGTTCCACTGACCACCAGCACAAGGAGGCAAAGTTCCACTGACCACCAGCACAAGGAGGCAAAGTTCCACTGAACACCAGCACAAGGGGGCAAAGTTTCATTGACCACCAGCACAAGGGGGAAAGGTTCCACTGACCATCAGCACAAGGGGGCAAAGTTTCATTGACCACCAGGGGGGGGAAAAGTTTCATTGACCACCAGCACAAGGGGGAAAAGTTCCACTGACCATCAGCACAAGGGGGTAAAGTTCCACTGACCACCAGCACAAGGGGGCAAAGTTCCACTGGCCACCAGCACAGGGGGGCAAAGTTCCACCGACCATCAGTACAAGGGGGCAAAGTTCCACTGACCAGCAGCACAGGAGAGCAAAGTTCCACTAACCAGTAGCACAGGGGGGCAAAGTTCCACTGACCACCGGCACAAATGGGCAAAGTTCCACTGAGCACCAACACGGGGGGGGGAAAGGTTCCACTGACCACCAGCACAAGGGGGCAAAGTTCAACTGACCACCAGTACAAGGCGGCAAAGTTCCATTGATCACCAGCACAAAGGGCAAAGTTCCACTGATCAACAGCACAAGGGGGCAAAGTCCCACTGACCACCAGCACAAGGGGCAAAGTTCCACTGACAACCAGCACTAATGAGTGCTCCTGGCTACTTGTTTCCGAGCATGCACATTGGCCCCTATGTGCGCTGTTATCCGATGCTTGGCTTCTGGAAACTTGGCTTGTGTGCCGACAGAAAGGGCTCTGCGCGCCCATTGCGACAAGCGTGTCATTGGTTCGCCACCACTGCTCTGGTGGTTTTGGAAAAGTCCAACTAAACAAAAACCGTTCAGGGTGCCACATCAATGGTCAAGGAGTTCAAAACAATATTTTTCTAGCTATTCCATAGAAAAAAGATTTCCAACGCGTTTCATCAGGGCTTATGTGTTACGTTAGAAATGAATTGGATTGCAGTAAAAGTTGTATGTATAAAGTTAGATCATGCAACCAGCACGGATTCTTGGAGCATTAGCATGGTGACCATACATCTTTTTATATAGTTGAGCAATAAATACCTGAGAGAGGTTGTACCTCATTGTGACTCAAACAAACAAGGGTCTAGCGATCTGAAATGTGCATAGGAAATCTGTATGATGCTTAGCACCATCATATGGCCAAATATGGTACTTTCCATGTTAAATCAATGAAAAACAACCAACACAGGTAATAGCCAAATGACATTCGATGCTTACACCTATTTGCTCAGAACGAATGTACATGCACTTTCATTGGGCAAATTGCTATGCAGATTTTTATTTTTTATAAATACTCAAATGTTGGCTATTCATACACATTAAATAATCCCTTTAAAAATGTAATTTGGATAAGACCCAACTCTCTTACAAAATTTTTCAGTTGAATAACCAACAAAAATGTGTTTATCAGGGCTCTGTGTCTGGAAATCTCGTAAGTGCTCAAAATGGATTAGTATATTGAATCTTTTTTTAATTATGATTTATAGCTGGTCAGGTAATCCCCAAAATGCCTAAAATGTAATTAGAATACGGTGACCCACAGTGGGATAATGACAGCCCCCCTACAGATTTCCTGTAGTCAGTCTGTTTTCCCTTCTGTTTATTATAACCAGACCCCTGTGTCGTGGAATGGAAAATTCCTGTCCTCCTAACACCGGCACTGATCATGTTCCCTGTAGCATACTATAGCATCGGGATGTATTTCAGGCGACCCATCCACAGACATTGCTGGGTGCAGTTTCCCTGTTTGCTTGTTCGATCCTGCAAATTTTTTTCTATCATCATAACACAATAACTCTGTCCCTTTTTCTGAAAATTGGCGTGCTCCTATATATTAACCTGTTTTCACTGATGATTCGTAGTGCCATGATGACGTGACGCCTGCTTTTAGTCATGCTAACATCATTGCCGAATTTTCTAATCAGATTTTCGGACAATTCATCTTACCCCCCCCCCCTTCCATGCACCCGTGTGTCTTGCTTTGCCTCCTTCCTCCTCCTGTGATGCCTCAGTTTCTATGGCTGCTCCGGTGTCCTGAACCCCATTCCCTTGATGCTTGCAATGCCTCCCTGTCGGTGCCTATCTTCAGATGACATTGCCCGTAGTGACGTTTGCTGTTTTGGGCTGATGAAAGCTGCACTTTGTTTTGCTTTGTGGTGACTTATCGGTTGCATTGTAGAACGTTTGACCTGTGCGTTGTCTTCTCTGCCCCGTTAGCGCCACCTGTCACCATCGTGGGTAACAGCGGAACGCCTGAGCACCATGTGTTGGTGACTGGAGATGACCTGGTTTTGGCCTGTGAACTGTCAAGGCCAAACTTCAAGGTGCGCTGGCTCAGAGATGGGGAGGAGCTGGTGTCGGGAGGGCGTGTAAAAATCTTGGCCCGGGGCGCTCATCGTCAGCTCACTGTGCAAAGCGTCCGGCCGTCTGACTCCGGCACTTACACTTGTGACGCCGGCTCCGACCAGCTACGAGCAGAAGTTCGTGTAGAAGGTAAGGAACAAAACTGGCTGTACATGGTTAGAATTTGTGTTCTAAAAATGTTCTCAAAAACGGTTGTTCAATTTTTGAATGGTTGGGACCAGCGGCGGACTGACAACTCATGGGGCCCCCGGGCAATAGTAGATTATGTGGCCCCTGTGTCCTCGCCCACACTCCAACCACACCCAAAAAAGTCTATGAAAGGTACCAGGGGCATCTCATGGGGCCCCCTACTGACCCCTGGCCTTCGGGCAGTGCCCGAGTTCCCAAATGGTCAGTCCGCCCCTGGTTGGGACAAATCGAATATTGTTTTTGACCAAAGTGATGAGAATAATCAAAGGGTTGAAAATGTTTCTTTTATCATTTTAATTTTCATATCTTAATGCAAAATATTCCATCTGTCAGGCTCCATGCATACTAGCTGAAAAATAGGTTCCTAGCAGCTACTTATGAGGGTTTTTTTTCTACCCCTAGAAGGAAATAGTGTATGCACTGGGGGTCATTTACTAAAACTGGAGAGTGCGACATCTGGTGCAGCTTTGCATAGAAACCAATCAGCTTCCAGCTTTAATTGCCGAAGTTTAATTGAACAAGCTGAAGTTATGCAGGCCATACATGGGTCGAATTCTGAATGAATTTACCCTAGAAAATAGGATATTTCATGCATTTTGTAATCCACCCACCTGAAATGGATACTTTGTGTTTTGGTAAGGCCAGAGAATTACACTAACGCAGGCCATACATGGGTTGGATTCTGAACTAATTTTCTTTTGCACAAATCTGAAATTTTTGTGTTTTTAATCCAGTGGTGCCACCATTGATTTCGAAATTTGACCAACCAAGCCTTTCATTTCACCTCATGTTGCTACAGAAAAGAATTTTCGTGGCCAAGAATTTTTTTTTTCTTTCCAGGTTACAGCTCATGGTCATTTCTTCTTTCTCGCGTGATTCTCCTATCATTGATTCGAAATTCGTTCACTTTTCAAAAAATGTGATCACTCAAATTCAATGGTCGCACGAACATCAGGCCGTTTCTGTGACCCACTAATGGTGCGAAATTCTAACAAAAATTCTTAGAAAAGATTATCGAAAGAAAATTCTTTCGGAATTTGACCCATGTATGGTCGTCTTTAGAAGCTGATTGGCTCCCATGCACAGCTGCACCAGATTCCAAGTGCTCCAGTTTTAGTAAATCAACCCCTATGTGTCCATGCACACTATTGTAGTCTAGAAGTGTTTTTGAAGCTTCGTCTCCTAGGAGCAGAAAAAAAAAACTTTTTTTGCATTTTAAGGCTCCATGCACACTACATATTTTTTTTTTTAAGTTCAGCTGGAAAAAATGCTAGATAAAAAATGCTGGTAATAACATTTTTTAGTAGTGTTCAGGAGTATTAGCATTTTATTAGCATTTTTACAGTACATGTAGAGGAAAAAAAATTACAAAGCTAGAAAAAAAGCTGTCAGGAGCGTTTTTAGGAGCTCTTAGGAGCATTTAGCATTTTTTTTCTGCTGGAAAAACGTTCCAAAAAACTACAAAAACATTTTTTTTCTGCTCCTAGATGCTGAAGCTCAAAAATACTAATAACCTAAAGTAGTGTGCATGGAAACATAGGATGACACTATTAAGCTTCTAGGAGTAGAAAAGAAAATGCTACAGTGCCTTGAACTAGTATTCATACCCCTTGAAATTTTCTACATTTTGTCATGTTACAGCCAAAAACGTAAATGTATTTTATTGGGATTTGATGTGATAGACCAACACAAAGTGGCACATAATTGTGAAGTGGAAGGAAAATGATAAATGGTTTTCAAATTTTTTTACAAATGAATACCTGAAAAGTGTGGCGGCATTTGTATTCAGCCCCCCGGAGTCAATACTTTGTAGGACCCCCTTTCTCTGCAATTCCAGCTGCAAGTCTTTTTGGGATGTCTCTACCAGCTTTGCACATTTAGAGAGGGACATTTCTGCCCATTCTTCTTTGCAGAATCGCTCAAGCTCTGTCAGATTGGATGGAGAGCGTCTGGGAACAGCAATTTTCAAGTCTTGCCACAGATTCTCAATTGGATTTAGGTCTGGACTGTGACTGGGCCATTCTAACACATGAAGATGCTTTGATCTAAACCATTCCATTGTAGCTCTGGCTGGATGTTTCGGGTCATTGTCCTGCTGGAAGGTGAACCTCCACCCCAGTCTCAAGTCTTTTGCAGACTCTAACAGGTTTTCTTCTAAGATTGCCCATCATCTCTGACCAGCTTCCCTGTACCTGCTGAAGAAAAGCATCCCCACAACATGATGCTGCCACCACCATGTTTCACGGTGGGGATGGTGTGTTCAGGGTGATGTGCAGAGTTAGTTTTCTGCCACACATAGCATTTTTGCTTTTAGGCCAAAAAGTTCCATTTTGGTCTCATCTGACCAGAGCATCTTCTTCCACATGTTTGCTGTGTCCCCCACATGGCTTCTTGTAAACTACAAACGGGACTTCTTATGGCTTTCTTGCAACAATGGTTTTCTTCCATAAGGGCCAGATTTGTGGAGTGCACGACTAATACTTGTCCTGTGGACAGATTCTCCCACCTGAGCTGTGGCTCTCTGCAGCTCCTCCAGAGTTAACATGGGCATCTTGACTGCTTCTGATGAACGCTCTCCTTTCCTAGATTAGGTGGACGGCCATGTCTTGGTAGGTTTGCAGTTGTGCCATACTCTTTCCATTTTCGATGATGGATTGAACAGTGCTCCGTGAGATGTTCAAAGCTTGGCATATTTTTTAATAACCTAACCCTGCTTTAAACTTCTCCACAACTTTATCCCTGACTGGTGTGGTGTGTTCCTTGGCCTTCATGATGCCATTTGTTCAGTAATGTTCTCTAACAAGCCTCTGAGGGCTTCACAGAACAGCTGTATTTATACTGAGATTAAATGCCACACAGGTGGACTAATTAATTGACTTCTGAAGGCAATTTGTTCTACTAGATTTTAGTTTGGGGTATCAGAGTAAAGGGGGCTGAATACAAATGCACGCCACACTTTTCAGATATTTATTTGTAAAAAATGTTGAAAACCATTTATCATTTTCCTTCCACTTCACAATTATGTGCAACTTTGTGTTGGTCTACCACATAAAATCCCAATAAAATACATTTTTGTTTTTGGTTGTAACATGACAAAATGTGGAAAATTTCAAGGGGCATGAATACTTTTTAAAGCCACTGTAGCTCCTATTAAAATCTTCATTTATAACTAAAGTATGATGTAGCAGACACATCTAAACTAGACCAGTAGTCAGTTTACGTATTTTGTGGGTATGTCACATCAGGACCATGGATATGTTATAACTTCACAGAGTGGTCTTAGTCCATTTATAAAAAGAACAACAAATCACATTATAACATGGAACAACACACAATTATAAGAAAAACAATATTGAATAGTACACAAAATTACATAAAAACATATCAGATTAATATTTTTTCAGTAATGGGCAGTTTATTTTATTAATCTGGTGTGTTTATGTGATTTTCTCTACAATTCATTATTGGAAAGTGAATGACAGCTTGTCCTTGATTATTTTTTTTTCCCCACCAAAATGGGAGCCATCACAGAAACTATAACTGAAACAGGATAAACAAGACGTTATAATTGACATTTACAGTTTATTACCCAATCTGTGCCCAATCTGTGCTATACCTTATCAGTGGAGTTTGACCTCCAACCAATTCCACTGTATTTCTTTGAAAATTCATCCAAGAAAAAAAAAATCTAATTATTTCTCATTTCTTTAGGGATGAGAAATTTAGTGTAGGACATTTTCAGAGAAATGTATTGGAGTCATTTGCAGGCGAATTTGATTAAAGCTGATCTCCACATTTAATGTCCCTTTTAAATAGTTCATTTCGGCCAAGCAGGCCCAAATGATCAATTTACTGCACAAACGTGCGCTTGCTGGGCACGCTGCCTTAAAGGGATACTAAAGGTTTTGTTGTTTTTTTTTTAATAACAAACATATTATACTTACCTGCTCTGTGCAACGGTTTTGCACAGAGCAGCCCCGATTCTCCTTTTTTTGGGTTTCTCGCTGGCACTCTGCGCTCCTCCCCCCTGCCGAGTGCCCCCATAGCAAGCCGCTTGCTAGAGGGGTATTATGCGTGCTGACTCAGCCCTGATCTGCGTGTGCATAAAACATACAGAAGGGGGCTCTGCTCTGCCCCTGCTCCCTCCTCACTGGCTGTGATTGACAGCATCGGGAGTCAATGGCTCCTGCTGCTGTCTCTGAGCCAATGAGGAGGCAGAGAGCTGGGACAGCACCCACTCTCATGCACATCGCTAAACCGGGCTCAGGCAAGTATTGAGGGGTCTGTGGGGGTAGCAGAATGCTGAAAGTTTTCTACCTTCATATATAGAATGCATGAAGGTAGAAAAAACCTTTAGGCTTTACAACCGCTTTACCTGTATGCTGCCTCAGCTACCTACAGTATACTGCGTGTGTTCTGGCAGTGGGATGGGGTCTTCCCATCTCACTCCTGAAACAAAACAGTTGGGCTGAGCAACAGTCAACCATTTAAAGGAAGCTCTGTATTCTATGAGACAGAATCGTGACATCATCTGTCCGCCTCTCAGCCTCAGCCAATCAGGAGAAGCTTTGTGTTTGTTCACAGTATACAAAGCTTCCCATGAATGGCTGAGCGGCGCTCAGCCGACTCTGTTTTGTTCCAGGAGCAGGATGGAAGGTCCCCTGGAGATCAGCTCTGTTTACATATATTTGATTTTATTAATTATTAAAGTCTTAGTCTACCCAAAGCTAATATTTCAGTTCATTTTGGTAGATGCCGGAGCATTACATATATCTCTCAGTGACAATTTGTTACAATTTCCCAGGTCTTTACAACTACTGTGGATAACCACAGTAGTTGTGAAGATCTGGGAAATTTTACCAAATTCTCACTGAGAGATATATTTAATGCTCCGGCATCTACCAAAATATACAGAAATATTAGAAATGGGTTTCCAACATTCTTTTGGATACTTTTTTTTATTGTATATCATAGAGACTGTAACAGGAGGAGCTAAAACACACAAAGGTGGGTGGGAACACCCAAAATCCCAAGGTGGACAGGTAAAGAGTCTGAAATAATGGCAGGCAGATCTCAAGGTTATCCAAGGTTATAGAAAGCCAGGAACTGACTCAGCCCATCTTGAAGAATGGTCTCAGGGCTGAGAGGCTCAGTTCCTTGATGCCTCCCCCTGCTCTAGAATTTTGGAGAAGATTCTAGAAGCAGTGGGCAGGGGTGAGGAGGGGTTGGTCTGCACACTCAGAGGACTTTGGTCAATCCCCAAGCAGGAGGGTTGGCATGGAGCCAGCCTTTAAGTGTGACTGAGCCTTCTGTATTTAAAATATATAATTTTTAGGTGGACTGACCTTTAAAGAGAATGGATGTTGGTGGAGTTTAGCTTTAGAGCTGCTGAATTATTGCTAAAAAAAGAGCATCAAAAAGACTATAAAATGTCTTTCTTAGTGAACTTCACTCTTATACAAACATTCAAGCCTAAAACAAAATAAATCACCTTTGATATGAGGTTGAAAGCTGCTATATACATTATGGTCTATCAACTTCCTAATTTTTGAAGAATGGCTGATAAAAACATACTGTCTAAATATGTAGACTGCTGGTGGGGTTGGTTTGTATGTTTTATTTGAACAACTAGTTCAGTGTCTAGGTATAAAGAATTGGACCAAAATTCTCACCATTGTTCCTCTTCCCTCAGCGCCCCGTCAGGTGGAGTTCCTCACCACGCTACAAAACGTCACTGTTCTGGAAGGAGACACCGCTACTTTTAAGTGTGTTGTCTCTCCAGATGATGTCATTCTTCACTGGGAGCTGAATGGATCCCCGGTGAATTCAGACCGGAGGGCCAGCATGGCGAGCAATGGACTGTGCCACTCTCTGACCTTACATGGGTGCCGTCTTTCAGATTCGGGTACCATCACCGCTAATGCTGAGGGGCTCATCTCTCGGGCAAGGCTCAGAGTGCAAGGTATGGTGCTCATTATACACTACAAAAGTTGGTTTGTTTTCTTTAGCGATGAGATGTGGTTGTGTTGAGCTGAATGTTAGTTACTCTTTTACGGGCCTATGTACATGGCTTTTGTTTGTGTCGAAACTGCTTTTCTCTTTATTTAAATCAGTAGGAATGCCAGTGCAGCTTGAATAAGTCTAGAAAGTGGTCAGGAGGTCTGCTGCAGGTCAAAGGTACCTGTGAAGGATGGAACTCAAACTGATCTCAAAGCAAGCCAAATGCACCCAAAAGCATGCCACATTTTATCATCTCCACCAGTCTATAAGGTATCATTATGACCATGCCAGCCAATATGACTACCATAGGGGCCTGACAGCAAACAAAGTCTGGTACAGGCTCAAACCAAGAAACGTTTATGCATGTCTATGCAACTATATGGCATTGGTTGCCAGTATGATCTTTGAGCACATGCTCTTTCTCAAGCTGTTATTTTATTTCCGATACCTGATAGTTTACTTTTTTGGATTGTATTCAAGATGTGCAAAGAGAGATCACACAAACACATGTAGGTACAACATTTAATTGAGTAATGACAGCTACAGATGTCAAATGTAATAATATTAGGAAATCTAAAAAGATTAATTAACTAAAGATGCCTTTTTGCCATGATGATATTCCAAGTTCTAGCTGTAGTATATATAACGTACATGGTGGTAGGATTTACCCATTAATAAACAATATCACCTTCTAAGGAAGATAGCACAAGGAAATTAGTGAGCTCTCTTGTCCATATAGTCAGGTTACAATGGCATTCCTATAGCATGAAGTTATCTAAGGTAACTAGATGTTGGAGGCTTGCTTGCTTAGATATTATGAGACAACTTTAGTAAGGAAATATATAAAATCCCCATCAGTTGTGCATCAGGATGGGTCAGTTATTTGTACCCATTCCAGCAACTCTGGAAATAGTGGGCTGACTTCAAAGGAAGTTCATAGGATGGTTAGTTTAACCATGAGGTGTGATCCAGTGAAGTCTGGAACAGTCGACATCTAGAACTTGGCTCGTACAAGTGTCCTTGTAGAGCCATTTTTGTGGAACATTGTTTCCCCATCCCTCACCATCTATGGTCAGCAACAAGATACTTCATCCTCTGCAACATCATTGGTCTAATAGGGAGGTACTCTACCAGAGATACAGAACAGGAATCTATAAATGGCACTAGGAAGTGAATTGTTAAGATATCGGTTAAGGACCCCTTTACAAGTTTACAATTTAGTGTATTTGTTCACCAGAGAGGTCATTGTCATTGAATGTTTGCTCCCAGAAGATCATCCTAATCAGGTAAGAATCTCCTGGTTATATATCTGATGCATTGATTACTATGGAGAATCCAGCAGGAAGAGTAGAGACACCTCAAAGTGGATGGGACACATTCAACTGCATTGGTGGGCAGGAAGAGATCTAGTAATGACAGCAGGAAGATCTTGTCATATAGGAAGCCATTGTACAATTTGGTCCATCAGACCTCACCCATAATTGAAATGGTGCTTTTGGGAGGACTGGTCCTTTAATCCTAATTCTGATATCTATTGTGCTTTGTGTAAAAGTGGGAGGAAATACTCCATATGATTTTACATTTTAATAAGAGTGGAAGACTGACTGCCCCCTATCTCTTCTCAGAGGCACACGTGATGTTTGTTCAGGGTTTGGAGGACAAGGAGATGGAAGAGGAAGAAGACATCACCTTTCAGGTCCAGGTGACCACGGAGAGAGGAGAGGTGCGCTGGGTGAAGCAAGGAATAGTTATCCAGCCCAGCGATAAATTTTCATTTGAGGATATGGGCTGCACCCACAAGCTGACTATCCGCTGTGTCCAGGCTTCCGACCGGGGCCGCTACAGCTGTGAGAGCCTTCATGACAGGACTGATTGCCGCCTTAATATCCTACGTATGTGTCATATTTCTGTCATAGTTTTAAAGATATTTAAATGAAACCTATGCTAAGAGAATTATGGCATTGTCTTCCGAATCTACCAGTTACACAGTAATCATGCTGATCCTCTGACGTCAATGAACTCTGAAGAAAAGAGCACCACTTCAAAGATATTTTTTGTTGTATTTAGTCAAAATCGCCAACATATTTTGGGGTTGCAGACCTCCTTCTCCATCGGGGGTTTTGGAAAATGAGAATATAGGTTTCTTGACAATTGACAGTAACATATTCAGGAAGAAATTATGGAGAATAACAGAAGTCTTCCTTCATTGCTCATTTTGGAAGCCAAACTGAGCACTAAAAGTAGATTTCTGTTATTCTCAATATACAGTATTACCGACTATTATACTTCCAAATGTCTACAATCAAAGCTTTCTTTCACTTTTCGAAAGCCCTCATGAAGGTGGCCTTTGGTACCATCTAAATGTATTGGCTCCTCTCAAAGAATACAATAGCAAATTAAACAAATCTGGACAAACATCTTTGGTTGGCTCTCTCTTCCTTTTCTCCTTTCGATCGACTCCATTTCTTCCATCGATTGACATGGATACAACCAGCCTATCGGATTTGTTACACGTGAATACTGCCGATGGCTATAGCAGCTAGCAGTAATCATTGCTTTCTGCAGGCTGGCTGTGTTGATGGGGGGAATAAAGTGATTTTCTTTCCTTCCACCTGTTGTGGAAGGAAAAAAAAAATCTCATCATTTATTGACTGCTTATACAATTTTCTGTCCAATTTCTGCCCAATTTCCTTTAGATTTACCTTCAACTATGTAATGCAAGGGCCTGCCTAATTGGATACAATTGAAAGTGTTGTTTAGGTTTGACCTCATATTATATGGTTTTGGGTAAGCCTACAGCACAATTCTCAAGAAAATTGTATAATGTATGGCCAACCTTAGGCTCCTGTAAGATAGAAAGCTGTTCACATGACAATAAGTCATCAAACCAAAACCCCAACAACAACAAGAGATCTAGCACCCCTCAATTTCTCTATTTCATGCCCCCTGGGTCAGTGATCTGCAACAAGCTTCCAAATTAGTAGTTCAGACTTCACCTGGACTTTGCTTGCTTCATGCTTGTTGCTTACCAGTGAAAAAGAATGTCTAAGGATCAGCATGGCTATCAGACAACTAGAATTTCCAGAAGTTAGCAAGAAAAGAAAATGCCAACAGATCTATATGATCTATATGATGTTTTTTTTTTTTTTCACAGCACGCAGTATAGCAATAAAGAAAGGCCTTCAAGATGTGAAGTGTGAAGAAGGGAGTAATGTGGAATTTGTGGTGGAGTTATCCCATGATGATTTGGTTGGAGAATGGTGGAAGGGTGGAGTCCGTCTGACCTCTGATGACCGCTGTAACATTAGGACAAGTGGTCGTCAACATTTTCTGCTTCTCTCGGATCTCAGCATCCCAGATTCATCGGTCATAGCTTTCACCACTGACACTCTGCGCAGTACAGCACAGTTGACGGTCACTGAGCCTCCTCTGACCATCACACAGCCTCCACAGGACTTTGTGGTCAATGAGGGCGGACTAGCTACATTCCAGTGTGAGGTCTCCAAACAAGAGGCTGTTGTGACCTGGAGTAAGGTGAGATCCAAAAGTGGGTCATGAAGTACGTTACATTCAAAGTTTGATCTCATTTGCCATAAGCGCTATGACATCATCTGTAATGGTCAGTGGTACAGGCAGGGCAGGACCAAGGGGTAGGCAGAAGAAGTGGACGCTTGGGAGGTGCTTCAGCAGGAAGGGGGAACAAAAAGGACTTGACATGCAACTAAAAGTGCTTGTAAACCCTTACATATACCCAGCGAAGTGACTGGCCCCAGGTAATACACAGAGATGAAACAAATCCTCCTACATATCTACAGCCATCTGTACCCTACATCCATTCTAAGTGCAACATTTACACAGGATCTTTCAGCTCTGAAAACAAGGGGGTGGAGACCTGTAGGTATAGGTCCTCTGTCAGCGTGACAGCTCGAGAGGAGAGAAATGCTGATAACCGGCATTTCTGTATTTACATGTGATCAGCTGTGATTGGACACAGCTGATCACATGACCGAGCTGACATCTTTGGCTCTTTCCGTGATCGGTGATCCGCTGTGTCCGAGGGACACAGTGCACCGACGATCACCGCGCTGCGCGCTCCCTGAGCTGAGAATGGGAAGACGTCATATGATGTCCTCCCAGAACAAGAGAACCACCTTGCGCCCATCATTGGACTATATGGCGGGCGGGAGGTGGTTAAACATATCCAGTAAAAAAAAAATTTTAAAAATCAAATTTCGTCATAAAGTTAGGCCTAAATGTGTTCTGCTCCATGTCTTTGCTAGAAAAAAATCCCAATACGTGTAAATTAACTGGTTTACGTGAAAATTATAGTGTTTACAAATGGTGGTAAAAATACTGGAATTTTCTTTTTTTTTTTACTAGTAATGGTGGCGATCAGTGAATTATAGCGGGACTGCAGCAGGCATTCTGACACTGGGGGTAACTGACTTGGTGTCACTGACATCCCCAGTGACACCAATACAGTGATCAGTACTAATAAAAAGCACTGACACTGTACTAATAGCACTGGGCAGGAAGGGGTTAACATCTGGGGTGATCAAAGGGTTAACTGTGTGCTGTTTTACTATGGTGGCTGTGTGTGTAACACTGTAAGCACACTGCTTTGTATGGCTCTGCTATGCTTTGCCTTACAAAGCAATGTGCAGGAGCTGACAGGGAAGAGATCTGTATTGTTTACATACAGGTCTCTCCCCCATCAGAAATTCTCGGAGATCTTGTCTGAAAATCAATACATGTATGTCTAGTATGGAATATTTAGTAGCAGCACATGCTTTTTTATCACCTGTCATGATGGGGTTAAAAAAAAAAATATTGTTCTTTATGGTACACAAACAGCAGAAAATCACTACTATAAGGGGTTCATTTACACTGTGAAATTGTGAAAGCCATATTTTATATTATATTTATTATAATATATATATATTATACATATAATATTTATATATATTATATATATATTATTATATATATATAAATCTACTAGATTTATATATATAAAATATACAGTATATATATATTTATAACAGTATTATAAATACTTAGAGGTTGGTGCACAGCTGCTGCATGAAGATTCCGCACACTTATATATTTATATATATTATATATATCTCCTAGATTGTAAGCTCCCAGGATCAGGCCCTCCTAACCCTCTTGTATTGAACTGTAGTGTTGCTGTATTGTCTCCCGTTATATTGTAAAGCGCTGAGTAAACTGTTGGCGCGATATAAAACCCCTGTATTATAATAATAATATATTTATATTTATATATTTTTTTATATAATATATATATATATTATATTTATATTATGTAGCAGGCTCCTTGTACAAGAGGATTCAGAAGGAATCACATGTTCAGCAGTCAGTCCTTTCTCTCTCTCTCCTATTTGTAAAACCTGGGCATTCTGCCAAGTTCATGACTCATCCACTACACAGCAAAGAACGCTGGAAGGGGGAGGAAGCAGGAAGTGAAGGGGAGAACAGAGAGACACCAGGCTGGAGAAAAGACAGGGACATGTGGAGCCCGTCCAAGTAGAGGAGGAGGCACTACAGCACTCAGCGCGGATAGAGGGACCCTGCTGTGTGTTCAGAGTCTGGTGAGCTGTCCCCCTGGAGAGAGTAAGACACACCATTTACACTTTGCATATAGACTGGGACATCCGCACCCCACTGCTGGGATCTCACCCATCCGGGGCCCTGTGCAAGCCACACATCCCCCTGCCTGCTTTGCCCCTCACCACCAGTGTAATTGAGACTGTCTGCCCCGGGGACTGACACATACTGGGAGATTGCATCCTGCGACTGCCCTGGTCTTGGGGTGCTTTGTGTTGCGTTTAGACACTGAGGTTGTTGGACCCTCTCAGCCCAGAAACCTAGTGAAATTGGATGTAACCCACACCAGCTGAAACTCCAAGAAGCCTTCAGCTGCTATTTACTTCATTGTAAGGACTAAACGTGCACCAACTAGAGCTCCACCGTTACCAGGACTGAAGTGGGGGAATCTGGCTTAGTAGCCTTATTAGAGGTACCTCTTTATTGCATTCTGTTCTGACTCTGAGGTGATTTTTGGCTAACGCCCCTCAGAAGCAGAATCATACCCCGGTGTGGGTAATACATTTCATTGATAGAGCATAAGTAAGTTTATTTGTTTGATATCAGTTGTATTCTGCTTAAAGTGCAGCTCTGCCATCCGGAGACTCTTGGCTGTGAAGCCCTCTAGTGGCAGACCAAATTTACTGCATTGCATAAAAAAAGAAAAGTAAGTTTTGAAGTTGAAAGGGGAACCCCACCCCTCTACACTGCATTTCATTCTCCATAAAATTGTTCTTGTTTCATTTAACCCTGTGTCAGCAAATTTCTTGGCGGGGTATTTGCTATTCATTACCAGTTGTGCCAGAGGGATTGGGTTTGCTTAGGGTTGGATCTATTGAGCGCAGAACCCATAATATATTCCAGCTTGTCCCAAGGGGCAGTGCTACACGTGGGGGCTTGTCCCCGGTCAGAGCGTACTTCAGCCTGTTCCTCAGGAAGATGATCAGAGGCAGACACTCTCGAAGCTTGTGGGGACCAGTGGACGGACGTGGAGCAAAGACACCCGTCAGCTTATCCAGCATCCAGTGCTTATACTATATTTTATAATGTATCCAGTAGTAGGGGTACCGGGTGGCTGTGGGTACAGTGGATGCAGTGGCTTTAGGAAAAGATACACACCATACAGGACACTCTTGACGCTTTCCCGTGTTCCTTTTCCAGAATGATGAGCAACTGGTTCCCAGTTCATCATGTCGTATGTTCTCTGTTGGGCGACGAAGAATCCTTCATCTCAGTCATTGTGAGCCGCAGGATGCCGGGATTTACACGTGTCACGTGGATGAATTGGCTGCATCTGCCACTTTACGTGTCCTGGGTGAGTGGACCATGTCTTGTCATCTGTTCACATACAGAGTGCAGAAAATATGGAGTCTACAATACAAATCCGTTGTGCAGTAACAATAAGCATTTACTGTATTTAGACAATATTTGCTTTTACTGGACTTCAGCTTTAAATCCGCATGCCATTTCTCAAAGATATCAAACTTCTCCATACTCCTCCATGACGACATCACGGAGCTGGTGGATGTTAGAGACCTTGCGCTCCTCCACCTTCCGTTTGAGGACGCCCCACAGATGCTCAATAGGGTTTAGGTCTGGAGACATGCTTGGCCAGTCCATTACCTTTACCCTCAGCTTCTTTAGCAAGGCACTGGTCATCTTGGAGGTGTGTTTAGGGTCGTTATCATGTTGGAATGCTGCCCTGCAGCCCAGTCTCCGAAGGGAGGGGATCATGCTCTGCTTCAGTATATCACAGTACATGTTGGCATTCATGGTTCTCTCAATGAACTGTAGCCCCCCAGTGCCGGCAGCACTCATGCAGCCCCAGACCATGACACTCCCACCACCATGCTTGACTGTAGGCAATACACACTAGTCTTTGTAGTCCTCACCTGGTTGCCACCACACACGCTTGACACCATCTGAACCAAATCAGTTTATCTTGGTGTCATCAGACCACAGGGCATGGTTCCAGTAATCCATGTCCTTAGTCTGCTTGTCTTCAGCAAACTGTTTGCGAGTCACATGACACCAGGGAGGGAAAATGGCTAATTGGGCCCAATTTGGACATTTTCACTTAGGGGTGTACTCACTTTTGTTGCCAGCGGTTTAGACATGAATGGCGGTGTGTTGAGTTATTTTGAGGGGACACCAAATTTACATGTTATACAAGCTGTACACTGACTACGTCACATTGTACCAAAGTGTCATTTCTTCAGTGTTGTCACCAGGGGCGGACTGATCATTTGGAACTGCCCGAGGGCCCGGGGTCAGTAGGGGGCCCCATGAGATGCCCCTGGTACCTTTTCATAGGCTTTTTTGAGTTTGGCCAAGGACACAGAGGCCCCATGATCCCCTTTTGCCCGGGGGCCCCATGAGTTTTCAGTCCGCCCCTGGTTGTCACATGAAAAGATAGAATAACATATTTACAAAAATGTGAGGGGTGGATTCACTTCTGTGAGATACTACATTTGTCACTTACCTGGTAGAGGTCAAACTAATGAGAGGGCTCGCCCTTACACTTCCTGTCCTGTTTGTCCCCCAAGATTGGACAGGGTAGGACAGGACATGCAATGGCACAGGCACCTGTAGCATGCAGAAGAACAGGATCTTGTGATGTCGTAGAAGCTGAAGAACAGGAACTTGTGCAGGATGTCTTCTTAGGGCAGGAATGTGGTCAGACGGGCAGAAGTTGGCAATGCGCGGGCAGCAGAGGTACAGAACAGAAGATGAGAGCGTACACAGGGGCAGGCCGTGTTCAGTCCACACACCAATTTCCATAGAATTCAGCAAACCTTTAATGTGCAGACCAGGGGCGGACTGACAACTCATGGGGCCCCCGGGAAATAGGGGATCGTGGGGCCCCTGTGTCCTCTCCCACACTCAAACCACACACAAAAAAGCCTATGAAAGGTACCAGGGACATCTCATGGGGCCCCCTACTGACCCGGGCCCTCGGGCGGTGCCCGAGTTCCCCAATGGTCAGTCCGCCCCTGGTGCAGACAGTGTGACAGAGACACTCAACCCTTTGAAGCGTTTTGCCCCAACTGGGGGTTACTCATAGAGTACGCTCTACAACTAAGCCTCAGTAGAGGGTGAAATGCTTCAGAGAAGAGGACTATCACTGCCTGTTGAATAATGTTGGTTGATTTCTATGAGAAATGGCAAATATTGTCTAAATACAATTGTCACTTACCTGGTAGAGGCCAAACTCATGAGAGGGCTCTCCCTTACACTTCCTGTCCTGTTTGTCCCCCAAGATTGGACAAGGTAGGACAGGACATGCAATGGCACAGGCGCTTGTAGTATGCAGAAGAACAGGATCTTGTGATGTCGTAGAAGCTGAAGAACAGGAACTTGTGTGGGACGTCTTCCTAGTGCAGGAACATGGTCAGAGGGGTAGAACTTGGGTGGGCAGCATAGGTACAGATCAGGGGCGGACTGACCATTTGGAAACTCGGCACTGCCCAAAGGCCCGGGGTCAGTAGGGGGCCCCCATGAGATACACCTGGTACCTTTTTCATAGGCTTTTTGAGTTTGCGCAAGGACACAGGGGCCCCATGATCCCCTATTGCCCGAGGGCCCCATGAATTGTCAGTCCACCCCTGGTACAGATGCAGAAGAGGAGAATGTATGCAGGAGCCAGGCCGAGGTCAGTATCACACGAGCAGAAGCTGAGAAGAAGGAAAAAGCAAGGTACAGAATCAAGAGGCAAGCCCTAGAGATCAGGTACCGGAGGGATCGAGATTGTGCGCCGTCAAAAGGCAAACCAGATGTTTCCCAGAAACAAGCAGGGTCTGGTCATGGGTCACAGGAGCTGATGACCACTCAGCAATGATCTTGAGTCTTGCAGTCCTTTAAATAGACCAATGGGTGCCAAAATCAATTCAAACATGGATGTTCATGAGCACGCTAACGCTTACCCTCACATGCATGTGCACGTGTAAATGAGCACAACCCTGATTCTGTGTACAGTTCTGTGGACATTCTTGCCACGTTTGGTGCACACACAGTGGACTTACATCCTTTGGGACTATTGAGGAATATATTTAAACAAAGAGGAAGGGATCTGTAGAAACCCAGAGCATTGCCAGCAACAATGGATGGAAAGAGTGGCCGGGACTTGGAGCAGTGCTTTGGAACTGTAAGTGCTTTTTTATTCCAACAGTTGTTTTTATTCTTTTTAAGTCTCTAGTTTTAGTTAAAATAATAAGTGGAGATCCTGCCATGAAAGGTCCTTGTTCAGGCACTTCCTGTCTCCCACTTTTGTGCGCCTGCCTTGCCACCCTGTCACATACTCCCCCTGGTGGAGACTACAAATAGCTGTGCATGGTGCAGGCATGTTACACTGTTGTCAGGGAGCCAATCCAAAGCAATGATGTGCAGCTGACACTATAGAAATGATACTGGAGGAAATCAAATCAATAATATTCAAAAAACGTTTTGAAAGAAAATGTGAAAACATTATTTATGAAAAACATGGCAATAGGTTATGATACACAGGGGGTATTTACTAAAACTGTCTGGTGGAATCGTGCATAGAGACCAATCAGCTTCCAGGTATTTTAGTCAACGTTTAATTGGACAGGACAGTGGTTAGCACTCCTGCGTGGCAGTACTAGGGTCGTTGGCTTGAATCCCAACCATGACACCACCTGCCTGGAGTTTGCATGTTCTCCCTGTGCCTGTGTGGGTTTCCTCCGGGTACTCCGGTTTCCTCCCACACTTGAAAGACATGCTGACAGGTTAATTGGCTCCTGTCTAAATTGGCCCTAGTATGTGTATGTATGAATGTGAGTTAGGGACCTTAGATTGTACGCCCCTTGAGGGTTAGGGACTGATGTGAATGTACAATATATATGTAGCGCTGTGTAAATTGATGATGTTATATAAGTATCTGTAATAAAGAAATAATTGAACAAGCTGAAGTTAGAAGCTGATTGGCTCCCATGCACAGCTGCACCAGATTCTGAATGCACCAGCTTTAGTAAATCTCCCCTACAGCGTTTTCGCACATTAGATGCCATTCCGTTAGGATCTAGAACTACATTACACCGTGAATGTTGCTGTGTCTCTGGAATTCCTTGTAAAATAATGTATTTCTGCTTCCCATAGAACAAGAACCACAAGTGATGAAAGACCTGCAGGACGTGGAGATAGTAGAGAATGACAACGCTGCCTTCATCTGTGAACTGTCCTGTGCTCAGGCCAAGGGGGAGTGGTTCAAAAATGGCGAGAAAATCAAAGTGACCTCAACCACAAAGATCCGTCAGGAAGGTACATCTCCTACGCCACCCTCTCTGGATCTAGTCTGCTTTCCATAAATTTAATTTATTTTCTACCTTTTCTACCTTATTTCAATCCTGTACTGCCCCTTTATTAACAGGCTGTCTTTTCTATTTCCCATTGATGTGATAGTTTGACTGACAATTACTCCTACATGCAGCACTGCACTTTTGAATTTTATATCCTTTTTTTAGACAGACCAAGCTTTTTTTGTAGTATACAGTAACCACTTGCTTTCATCAGGGCTGAGGCACTAGACGAGAGTACTGTGGCAGGGTGCAATGATGTATTCAGGAAGCTAGGTACAGCACCCTGCTGGCTCCTGCCACCAGCCATGATCTGTCTGCATTGCATAGAGAAGCACTTGAGAAGAGGAGATTAAGGGGGATATGATCTCCATGTATAATACATAAGGGGGGATATGTTCTCCATGTATAATACATAAGGGGGGTATGATCTCCATGTATAATACATAAGGGGGGATATGTATTCTCCATGTATATTACATAAGGGGGGGTATGATCTCCATGTATAATACATAAGGGGGGATATGATCACCATGTATAATACATAAGGGGGGATATGATCACCATGTATAATACATAAGGGGGGATATGATCTCCATGTATAATACATAAGGGGGGATATGATCACCATGTATAATACATAAGGGGGGATATGATCTCCATGTATAATACATAAGGGGGATATGATCTCCATGTATAATACATAAGGGGGGATATGATCACCATGTATAATACATAAGGGGGGATATGATCTCCATGTATAAATACATCAGTGGTTCATATAGTGAACTCGGTGTAGAGTTATTCACCCTGAGGTCATCACAGAGGACAAGGGGGCACTCTTTACATCTGAAGGAAAAGAAATTTAATCTCCAAACATGGAAAGGTTTCTTCACAGTGAGAGCTGTGAAAATGTGGAATAGACTCCCTCAAGAGTTGGTTCTGGCCAGCTCAGTGGATTGCTTCAAAAAGTCCTGGATTCTTTCTTGGATACACAGAATATAACTGGATACTAACATTTATAGGTAAAGTTGAGCCAGGGAATATCCGATTGCCTCTCGGGGGATCAGGAAGGAATTTTTTTTCTCAGCAGGAGCAAATTGGTTCATGCTTTGCTGTGGTTTTTTTTTTTTGCCTTCCTCTGGATCAACTGTGGGTGGAGGTTTATAACTTTTTTTTTTCTATGGTTGAACTGGATGGACTTTTGTCTTTTTTCAGTCAGAATAACTATGTAACTATGTAACATAGATCCAGTGATGACATAACTGGCTCTAAAATAGGGTATGTAATGAAAGCTAAATGGTTTCATTAAAACATTTCTTCAGCTCATTGATTAGGAGTAAGAGCCGAATCAGATTAAACATCCGCTTTAATTTTCTAGCTCCTTCCCACTATAACTGAACTAATGGTCAGAGAAGGACTTTAAAGTGGAATTAAACTCTCTCAATAAGCATGATCTATTTATAATTCTTATGCTACTAGCATTAATAAATCAATAAATATTTTATTTTCTTGTTTTAAACTATTTTTTTTGTCTTCTTCCTGTTTTATGGCCTAGGCCAAAATGATGTCATACATCCTAGGAGTTTTCATGGACTTTTTTTTTCCTTTCATTTGGAGGAGGGTAGGAAGGGCTTTCTCAGTTAAGCAAAATCCTACCCCCCCTTTTTTTGCCTGCATGCCTGAGCTAAGGGCAGATGGATTCAAGAAAGTGATTGCTACATGAATCATCTACCCTCACTCAAGATGGCCACAGCTAAAAATGCTAGGGGGGGTGGGGTTGTAAAGTGATTTCTCAACAAAATAAAGCATGGAGACATTGATGGGGGAGTTTGCTTTGAATACTAAACTTAATTAAATAGCGTTTTTTAGTTAGTGGTGATCAGATACAGTTGAGTTCCACTTTAGGTATGATTTCTGTTTGATTCATAGTTCTGGTCAATAAATGATGAAACTTGCCACGTAACCATCCCAGCTTTGAGATCCATGTTAATTCAGTGGTCATTTCTTCTGTCTCTGCAGGACGAAGGCATTTCCTGTTGATCTGTGGGGCCCAATGTGGAGACTCTGGAGAAATACTCTTTCGAGCAAGAAGAGCCGAGTCAAGAGCCAAGCTTGTAGTAACAGGTGAGAGGATGTTCCTGATTCCTGCCCTGTTTGAGGACTGTCCCAGGGAGGAAACCTTAGTGCCTTGGAAAGATGGATTCATTTATTAAAATGTCTGGAGAAAAAAACTCCTCAGGGAAGTTGGAAGCAGTCGCTCACATTCAGCTGGACTTGCGCTGTAGACTGGACATCTTCTGTAATGCTGAAGATGTTTTGTAGCTCCTCCAATCTGCTTCTTCTGTTCTGAAGAAGTGGATCAGAGAGGCTACTAAAATGGAGAAGACCAGCTGAATGTGACTAACTACTACTAGCAGAGCAGGGACAAGGGGTGGGCAGGAGGGCGGCTGCTCTGGGCACAATGGTTTGCTGTAGGGATGGGGCGCCTTCCTTCTGTTACAAGACTGACAGGAGTAGTGACAGCGGAAGTGATTTTTGACATGCGAGTGACTGCTGGGTGTAGGATCCCCTAAGCCTACCCATCATTTTAATAATAAAAGCCCATACCAGTACCCCACCTTCATCTTGCTGGTGCCTGAGTCAAAGTGGAGCTCTGTGCCTGATACTGGTCCAGTCACAGGCCATCCATCTGGTCCGTCAAGAGTCACTCTCATCTCATCAGTCCATAAAACCTTTGAAAAATCTGTTTTCAAATATTTCTTGGCCCAGTCTTGATGTTTCAACTTATGGAAACGGTGGTTGGGTTTCAGCCTTCCTTACCTTGGCCATGTCTCTGAGCATTGAACACCTTGTACTTCGGAGCACTCCAGGTAGGTTGCAGTTCTGGAATATGACAGCACTGGAGAATAATGGGCTCCTGGTAGATTCAAGTTTGATTCTTCTCAAATCTTTGGCAGTTAATTTGCGTATTTGTTTTCTCAACACGTTTTATGGGACCCTGTTGACTATTTGCAACAAAATGTTTGATGGTTCTCTGATCACGCCCCAATATCTTAGCAATTTCAAGAGTGCTGCATCCCTCTGAAAGACTTTTTACAATTTTTGACTTTCAGAGTCAGTTAAATCTCTTTTTGGCCCATTTTACCTGTGGAAAAGAAGCTGCCTAATAATTATGCACAACTTGATATAGGGTGTTGATCTCCTTAGGCCACACCCTCCCTTATAACACAACTACACATCACCTGGTATGCTGACATCCAATAAGCATTCAAGTTTCTACAGCTTGGAGTTGGACAATATGCATAAAAATGATCATTTTGTAAAAAAAAACTCACTTGCCTAATAATTGTGCACACAGTGCAGTGAATGCAGAGTCCTGGGTTTAGTAAGATTTTAATTGCAAAATATACTTGTTGTTAAGATAACAGAAAATTTCCTATCAAATACTTACTGTAATATTCCCTTTCCTGATGGACTCCATGCCAGCATACATTTGGGGGTAGTTTCGCCCCCACTCCTACCCCATAGGACCCCACTCCCATAAACCTTGAGGCTGAGCCACAGGCTGCGTTCCGTAACTAGCTTACCCATGACACTGGGAAGGTGCACATGCTGCTATGGGGTCCATCAGGAAAGAAAAATTATAAGTATTTGATAGGAAATTTTCAGTTTTCCTGATAGACTCCATGGCAGCATACATTTGGGAATTGACTAGCCAAAAGAACAAGGGTGCGGATGTCAAAAAAAGGTAAGGAAAACTTCAAACACCAAGGATCCTATGAGTGAGGAGGACAAAAAAGGAACGTGGCCTCTGGCTCAGCCTCAAAATTTATAGGAGTGGGGTCGTATGGGGTAGGAGCCGGGGTGGAACTACCCCCAAATGTATGATGCCGTGGAGTCTGTCAGGAAATTTTGATACATTTATTTATTGATCTAATGCTGATCTCCTTTACTTGCTTATCTGGACAATTTTGAAAAGATTGTAGATTCTTCTTGATTATGGCTGCTAGACTTGGATTTAGGCCCATATTTTTGAAGCAAAAGAAAAAATGGGCTAGTCCTTATGGAAAAGAGTGCAGTTACCCATGAGGACTCCAAAATCTAGCAGGTTGCGCCCACTGCCCTGGAGGATTCTATTTTTGTTGTATTATTAATCCTTTCAATTTGGGATGATAGCGAACTTGGCAAGATCCACTAAGAAAGATGGTAACTGTGTTGTCTTTCTCCCCGCTGACTCTCCAGAGCTCCCTGTGCGCATAGTGAAGGCGCTAAGAGACAAGACAGCCCTGCAGGGTCATCGGGTCATCCTGGAGTGTAAGGTCAGCCCGGCCCGAGCTCGGGTCACCTGGCTGCGAGGAGGACAGGTGATCTTACCATCCGACAAATACCAGATAACCAGTGAAGATGCATATCGGACGCTGTTCATCAATGATGTGGGCCCAGAAGACGAGGATGTCTATGCAGTGAAGACTAGTGGGGGGCAGAGCTCAGCTCGTCTGATGGTGGAAGGTGAGGAGAGAACTTCTAATACAGAGCAATAATTCATTATTAGAAGTACAAACTAATATATGCCATGTGTTTTCCATTACAGTGGTTGTTAAACCCTTACATGTACCCAGTGAGGTGTCTGGCCTCAGGTGATACAAAGAGATGAAACTAATCCTTCTACATAAGTTGTACCTGTTTATCTGCAGTCTTCTTTACATCCGTTCAAATTTATAAAGTTTGAGCGTTCAGAAAAAATGGGGTGGAGAGCTTGGATTACACATTGCAGAGCTCAGTGAGGAAAGCTCTGAGAGCTGATTGGAGAGAAAAGACACCCCCCCCTCCACACAGTTCACATGAACAGAGCTGAGGCTCTCAATCTGCTGGAGGTCCCTCCCCTGTCACCATTTTTCTCTTGGTGTCAGGAAAACTTGTCAGAATTGATTCATGCTAATAGCAGAGGAAGGAGGCAGCAGACACAAATGACACTTAGTGCTCTTAATTGAGCCAAATACACACTATAAAGGGGTATGCTTTGTTCATATTTCAGGTCTGAAAGTTTTTACAGTTGGAAAGCTCAAAGAGCAATGGCTGTGCAAAGTGCAGAACCTCATAGTGGCCAATTAGATTTAACACGGAACTAATCTCTCAGAATCAACATTAACTATTTTCAATCCTTATGCTGCTAGCATTAGTAAACCGATAGGAAGGTATATTATATTTACTTGTTTTAACTTTTTTTTTTTTTTTTACATTTCTTCAGTTGCTTCCTGGTTTGTGGCCTAGATCAAAATGATATCATACATCCCAGGAGTCTTCCTTTTTTTTTTTTCTTTCATCTGGAGGAGGGAAGGAGGGGCTTTCCCAGCTAAGTACACCCTCCTGCCTGTGTGCCTGAGCTAAGGGCAAATGGATTACAGGAAGTGAATGCTACATAAATCATCTGCCCCTTACTCAAGATGGTCGTGGCTAGAAATGCTAGGGGGTGTTTTTCAAAGTGATTTCTCAACAAAATAAATCATAGAGACATGGATGGATGGGGGAGTTTGCTTTGAAGATTAAATATGAATTAAATGTTTTTCAGTTTGTGGTGCTCAGATATAGTTTAGTTCCACTTTACAGGTACGGCAGTCAGTTCAGTGAAGCGTTGACTTCTGAATGGGTGATATGGGTTACTATACATTATACAGTTTGTTCTCACTGCTGCTTGTGCTGCTTTACTGAGTATGTCTGAATGTTCTTTTTCAGTAATAGAAACATTTGCTGTTCTCAGCTGGATAATTGCAGTTTTTGATTTTAACTTCTCCATGGAGTATGTGCAAGCCGTTTCAAAATATTCATAACTGGAACTGCTGAAATGACATTAGTTTGTAACGATTGAGAACATCAGAATATTCCCGGTATTGGAACAAGCTGTCGCCAATTAGAGAACAAGAACATTCATAAGATTAAATAAGCAGAAGCCAATCAGAGTATTAAATCAATTCTAGGAGTTGACCAACCTGCAGCCAATCAGAGTATTACATCATTCCAAGGACTTGACCGACCTGCAGCCACTCAGAGCATTACACCATTCCTAGGACTTGACCAACTTACAGCAAATCAGAGTATTACACCATTCCAAGGACTTGACCAACCTACAGCCAATCAGACTATTACACCATTCCTAGAACTTGACCAACTTGCAGCAAATCAGAGCATTACACCATTCCTAGGACTTGACCAACCTACAGCCAATCAGACTATTACACCATTCCTAGGACTTGACCAACTTACAGCAAATCAGCTTATTACACCATTCCTAGGACTTGATCAACCTGCAGCCAATCAGATTATTACACCATTCCTAGGACTTGACCAACCTACAGCCAATCAGACTATTACACCATTCCTAGGCTTGACCAACCTACAGCCACTCAGAGCATTACACCATTCCTAGGACTTTACCAACCTGCAGCCAATCAGTGTACTACATCATTCCTAGGACTTGACCAACCTGCAACCAATCTAGAGTATTACACCATTCCTAAGACTTGACCAACCTGCAGCCAACCAGATTATTACACCATTCCTAGGACTTGACCAACCTGCAGCCAATCAGTGTACTACATCATTCCTAGGACTTGACCAACCTGCAACCAATCTAGAGTATTACACCATTCCTAAGACTTGACCAACCTGCAGCCAATCAGATTATTACACCATTCCTAGGACTTGACCAACCTGCAGCCAATCAGTGTACTATATCATTCCTAGGACTTTATCAACCTGCAGCCAATCTAGAGTATTACACCATTCCTAAGACTTGACCAACCTTCAGCCAATCAGATTATTACATCATTCCTAGGACTTGACCAACCTGCAGTCAATCAGAGTATTACACCATTCCTAGGACTTGATCAACCTGCAGCCAATCTAAAATATTACATCATTCCTATGACTTGACCAACCTGCAGTCAATCAGAGTATTACACCATTCCTAGGACTTGACCAACCTGCAGCCAATCGGGGCATTACACCATTCCTAGGACTTGACCAACCTGCAGTTAATCTAGAGTCTTACACCATTCCTAAGACTTGACCAACCTGCAGCCAATCAGATTATTACATCATTCCTAGGACTTGACCAACCTGCAGCCAATCTAAAGTATTACACCATTCCTAGGACTTGATCAACCTGCAGCCAATCTAAAATATTACATCATTCCTATGACTTGACCAACCTGCAGTCAATCGGAGTATTACACCATTCCTAGGACTTGACCAACCTGCAGCTAATCAGAATATTACATCATTTCTAGGACCTGACCAACCTGCAGCCAATCGGAGCATTACACCATTCCTAGGACTTGACCAATCTTCAGCCAATCAGAGCATTACACCATTCTTAGGCCTGGACCAACCTGCAGCCAATTAGAGCATTGCAAGATTTGTATGATTGACCAACCAGCAGCCAATGAAAGCATTACAAGATTTGTATGATTGATCAACCAGCAGCCAATCAAAACATTGCAGCATTCACATGACTGACCATTACAATCTATCAAACCACTGCATTACTCGTAGGCATTGACCAACCTTTTTCACGGGTGTTAATATTTTTAAATTCAACACTTCTACATCCAGGCAAAACATTCTAACATGGCTACAGGAAGCCTCTAGCCAATCAGATTATCACAGAATCGGAATAGGCCTTTAGCCATTTATACAATTTTTTCATCTTCAGCAATTTCAATTGTGATAATTTCTTAAGGCCCCCATGGACAATAGATCCGATTACAATCTAGCTGTTTTCAGCCGGATTGGGGGACATCTAATGTCTTTAGTGCACTGGCAGACACCACTCACACCATTCCTAGGACTTGACCAACTTGCAGCAAATCAGAGCATTACACCATTCCTAGAACTTGACCAACCTACAGCCAATCAGACTATTACACCATTCCTAGGCTTGACCAACCTACAGCCACTCAGAGCATTACACCATTCCTAGGACTTTACCAACCTGCAGCCAATCAGTGTACTACATCATTCCTAGGACTTGACCAACCTGCAACCAATCTAGAGTATTACACCATTCCTAAGACTTGACCAACCTGCAGCCAATCAGATTATTACACCATTCCTAGGACTTGACCAACCTGCAGCCAATCAGTGTACTACATCATTCCTAGGACTTGACCAACCTGCAACCAATCTAGAGTATTACACCATTCCTAAGACTTGACCAACCTTCAGCCAATCAGATTATTACATCATTCCTAGGACTTGACCAACCTGCAGCCAATCTAAAGTATTACACCATTCCTAGGACTTGACCAACCTGCAGTCAATCAGAGTATTACACCATTCCTAAGACTTGATCAACCTGCAGCCAATCTAAAATATTACATCATTCCTATGACTTGACCAACCTGCAGTCAATCAGAGTACTACACCATTCCCAGGAAGCCTCTAGCCAATCAGATTATCACAGAATCGGAATAGGCCTTTAGCCATTTATACAATTTTTTCATCTTCAGCAATTTGAATTGTGATAATTTCTTAAGACCCCATGGACAATAGATCCGATTACAATCTAGCTGTTTTCAACCGGATTGGGGGACATCTAATGTCTTTAGTGCACTGGCAGACACCACTGGGTGAGGCCCATCTTGGGGATCAGCAGCCAGGTTGGAAAACTGTGCCAAATTACTTCTGCTTCCTTCTGTGGAGTATCTGCAGCATGTCCCTTTCTGTAGTTCAAGTACAAACGGTTCTAAAATCTGGTAACCTGTGTTTTCTTGTGGAAAAAATCCAAAATAATACTTTTTGTTACAAAACTGCAGTGGGAATCATTGCAAGCTGTCAGGACATAGGGCCCTATCTCCTGGTTTAAAAGACAGGGCCTTGTACCTTGGACGCTGGCATGACTTCCACTACAGTCCGCAGCAGAACTTACAATGGTTTGGGGTCAATTTAATTTTAGTATTTATTTCCCTAATAGAATTTTAACCTCTTGACGTCAGCCAAATGCATCTATACGGCTGCTCAGTGGGTGGGCCGTAACGCTGAGTTGCCGCATATGTGCGGCCCTGTTAAAACAACTTACCGAGCTGAGAACGCGCTCCCTGCATGCTCCCAGCATGGTAGCCATCAGGGATTGGTAAACTCGCAATGTATAATTGCAATTGAGAGTTTTCCAATCATGTGACCAGCCACAGGTGTCACATGACCCGAATGCCCACCTCCACCTCCCAGCTTTTAGAACTCTTAAAGGGCCAAGAGGCGGTTGGCGCAAAGAGATTAAAGTGTTGTTGTATATTTGATTTGTAACTATATAGACCAGCTTTTTGCAACCTTTTCAGTGCAGAGGAATCCTTGAAACAACTTTCTGGTCTCAGGGAACCCCTGCTAAAAATTACTATATCTACAACTCATGATATATTAGTGTGATGGTTGGTGGGAAGAATGGTCTTCACACTTGTGGTCATTGGGAAAGAATTACCCCTTACAGTTCACTAAAAAGATCAATGATGTCAGTGGGAAATGATCTGAGAGGCAGAAATTGCTCATTGCGTAAGGAACCCCTAGCAACCTCTGGAGGAACCCTAGAATTCCATGGAACCCAGGTTGAGAATGATATAGACAGTTGTTGTGCCATGACAATGGTCACTAGGGCTAATAGAGAGGGTGAAGCTCTTTTGACTGTACTTCTCCTGTGGGTCATAGGAGTGCAGCTCGTTCTGTACTCCTGTGCCCCGTTTTCAGCTGACAGCGGGCTGAATCCAATAAATGGGTTGAAATTGCACCCAGATCATATGTGAATTGCACAGGAACGCACAGCACATTCCTGTGAGATTCATGGTGTGAACCAACCCTTAATTAGCAATTTTAAAATATTTAAGTTATGCTATGATAATGGGATCATGTAACAAATATAAATTAGGTATTATCCCAAATTGGTTGCAAAAGTGGAAATACATTTTAAGCCCCAAAATTTGCTATAATAAAACATTACTATGTAATAAGTCTGAAATATTTGTAATAAATCTAAAATATTTCAGGTTTGGCCATTCAGCTGATTCGTAATCTGAAAGATGTCAAGGTGACGGCCCCTGATGACGCTTGCTTTGAGTGTGAGGTCTCCATTTCTCTTCCCCGTCCCCCTCAGTGGAGTCTGAATGGGGTGCTACTGCACAATGGTGGAGATGTCCTCATCGAAAGCAGAGGAAACCGGCACAGGCTCTCCCTGAGGGACACGTATCCTGGATTGTCGGGAATTGTCAAATTTACCGCCGGCAAGACGCGCTCAGAAGCCAAGCTCACTGTGCTAGGTAATGGAGAGAACTTGGTGAGCCTCAGTTGTCAATATGTCCAAGGGAATGATTGTCTCACACAATCTTTGTTGCTCATAGCAGATGGCCTATTTTGAATTTCTGTTTTGGGAGAATAAAAGAAAGGATCTGTTGAGCTAATCTGAAGAACAACTCAGTTCTGACTATAGATATTGCCTTTAGGCTGAGCAGTCTTTAAAATCAATAGAACCAACTGCCAATTGTCTCATTCCTCCTTGAAATGAGAATGCAGTTATTATCCAGTTTTATAACTGACTAGAACAAGCTTGCCATACTGATGTTCTTTGGGCCCATGCAGCCCTCACACCCCCTTCTTTGTGGCCCCCCCGGTGGGTTAAAGTGAATGTAAAGGAAAATTTTAAAAGCTGACCTCCAACCTTCCCTTCAGTCTTGCACAGTTGTACCAGCTCCTCTCCTGGACTGAAATTGCTTACTCTGATTTCACTGCACATGGTGAACTTCTTCTATTGTGCATTAGTAGCTTACACTGACTCAAGAGTGCTGATTATTTCCCCAATTCAGACCTGCTCAGAAGACATTGAGGTGATAGAGTAGCCACATACAAGACCAAAAATTCAGTTAGGGCTCATTCATATGTAGCACCTTCCTAGTTTAGTTGGGGAGAGCTAGACCCTAATGGCTAGTGAGGAGCTGATTAGCAGCTCAGGTGAAATAGTCACAGGGGTCAAATTCTGCTCAGAACTGAGAGACTCTGCAGGCCAGCCCATCTGGATTTCCCCCTACTCTGAGGCTTTCGGAGGGGGGCCTTGGAGGCAGTGTCTGGATCTGAGGAATGGTTGGATGCACTTTTGAGGTGCCTCAACCAATCCCCAACAGGAGGCTTGGCAAGGGTCTGGACTCCCTTAAAAAGTGTTGGTGCCTGCTCAGTATGAGGAGACTCGGAAGAAGGAGAGAGGAAGATGTGAGGTTGAGGAGGAAGGCTGCCAGGAGACCTAGTGGGATGGAGTCTGCCTGTGAGCCTGGAGCTGGAAAGGATCAAAACTCAGGACTCATTGGCCCCCTGAGTGAGGACCACCTATGTGGCAAGGAAGGAGCAGCCCAGCTGATAGGCCTGCCAGCAGAAACACATCCCTCAAGCGGTACAGAAGAGGATCTGAGTGAGTACATCTACACCCTCTGGGTGGATATGGGAAGGAGCACTCTGGCGGGAAACCAGATTAGCCCCCTACAAGTGGCTGTTATCCACTTAAAGGAACAGGAGTCAGATCCCCTGCTCATAAATAAAGTCTCCAGATTGCTGGGTGAATAGGAGTTCATCAAGGGTCTGTGGTGGTACAACTGGAGCTGCTGGCTAGCACTCCAACAGAGACTACATCAGAGAAGAGAAGCTGTGCACAGTTCAGGAAGTTGTCCTCAGATTTCGTTTCCCTTGGGCATCCTATACACCCTTTATCCTTTCCAAGTTTAATCCCCTCAATAAAATAACAAAACCAACGCTCAAGACCTGATTTCTGTCTGTGGATGAAAGCTTGTATGAAAAAATGCTAGCTGACTACCTGTACAGGACCATAGGGGGACCCAAATTTGTCAGCAATCCCTATGAGGGTAGTGCTACACATATAAACGGTTATACTGCCACCCCTGTAAAAAGCAATACATGTTTGTAGCACAACCCTATTCACTTGAATGGCTCGCGTTCAACATCAGTATCACCTGCCAAATGCAACATGCTGTTTAATTGTTGACATGGCTGCCACATGGTTGGAGCCCTGAGCAGCTGCAATGCTGTATTTAGGTGGGCAGTAAAACTGTGGCTTCCTTTAATCATCCCCCTGCCACCCATGTGATCATGCCCTTAGAGACATGAGGCACCATAAAAAATAAATCAGTATATAATTAATATAACAGGTTTAACAATGAAAAATGTATATTTGCTCACTTGTATGTGGACAACTCTGGAACTGAGAGTTGGAGCTGGAAGGCCATCTGAGGTCTGCCATTTGTTGACCCGTCAAGTACAGTACCTGACTGATAATGCAAGCTGTGTCCTGGTTCCTGCATAACAGTAACACCCAAGAGTGTAAATATCTGTGGTAATTTGTTAGTTTGATACTGTTATGTACAGTCAGAAGCTGGAAGATAGCATGTGTTCTTATCATCATGAGGTCAGGCAGATGACAGGTTAGCCCTAACTCCTAAGGTAAGCCTTAGATGATTGCAATTTTCTTTCCTTGCAACCTGTTTCCTGCAACCTGTGTGCAATCACTTGATGATTGTGTTGATGGGGGAATCCCTACCGCAGTATTATTGTGTTTCTGCTGGCAGTACGCGTCCATGCCAACAGAGCACAATGATATTTGCTGGTGGCTATAGCAGTAATCACATGCAAAACAATATGACAGGCTGTTTGTATTGAAATCAGTCGATGGACTGACGTCAGTATAAAACCTACCTGCCCATAGTTGAATTGAACCTTGGCTGGTCCCTGCTCTCTCGTTGGCTCCCAACCATTGATAATTGACAGTGTAATCACAGTGCTGGATGTGCATGGCCAAGTACACCCTCAGCAACGTTGGCTTTATGCACTGTGCTCCTTCATACACTATATTGCCAAAAGTATTGGTCGGCCTGCCTTTACACGCACATGAACTTTTAAGGCATCCCAGTCTTAGTCCATAGGGTTGAATAATGAGTTTGGCCCACCCTTTGCAGCTATAACAGCTTCAACTCTTCTGGGAAGGCTGTCCACAAGGTTTAAGAGTGTGTCTATGGGAATGTTTGACCATTCTTCCAGAAGAGCATTTGTGAGGTCAGGCACTGATGTCGGATGAGAAGGCCTGGCTCACAGTCTCCACTCTGATTCATCCCAAAGGTCTTCTATGGGGTTGTGGTCAGGACTCTGTGCAGGCCAGTCAAATTCCTCCACCCCAAACTCACTCATCCATGTCTTTATGGACCTTGCTTTGTGCACTGGTGCGCAGTCATGTTGGAACAGGAAAGGGCCATCCCCAAACTCTTCCCACAAATTTGGGAGCATGAAATTGTCCAAAATGTCTTGGTATGGTGACACCTTAAGAGTTCCCTTCACTGGAACTAAGGGACCAAACCCAACCCCTGAAAAACAACCCCACACCATAATCCCCCCTTCACCAAACATTACACTTGGCACAATGCAATCAGAGAAGTACAGTTCTCCTGGCAACCACCAAACCAAGACAATCTATTGGATTTCCAGACAGAGAAGAGTGATTGGTCACTCCAGAGAACCTGTCTCCACTGCTCTAGAGTCCAACGCTTTGCATTGCACTTGGTGATATAAGGCTTGGATGCAACCACCATAGTTTCCCTTGGTTCTTTTATAAGCTCAACTGTGCCTAAGCTGGTCTTTAAGAATTCTAGCAAAAGCATAATACAATTCCAACCTAACAATATATTTGTTTTTTTTCCACAGAACAATAGGAAGACCTGCTTGCATCAGCCACAGCCTGCAGAAGCCAGCAATGTCTTTTCTTCCTGTGTAGATGACACCCCTGACCCTTCATTTGTCTTCATTTGTCCCCCAGTCTCATGTAGGGTTGAGCTGTGCTCATCCCAGAGACTAGGATGAGGGTTTGGTTTAAGCAAAGCTTTTTATAAGCCATTAGACACGGGTTCTAAACCCTTCCACCCTCAGCTCCTATTATTTATTTTATTATCATTCTGCCCTCCTCCCTACCAGACCCTGAACAAAGCACAGGCATGGAGATGTACAGCCAGAAAAGCGCCCATCCCAGTGGAGTGGCAAGTGACAAAGAGGAATTGTTGGAATGCGATTGAGAATGAATTGAGTGAGACTGACAAGTACTAGAAGAGCAGAAGCATTAGGATGGGCAGTGCCAGATTAAAATTTTGGGACTCAACCATAAGCCTCAACACCATACATACATACATTAAATTTATACCCTCTGAAACAATCAGATCTCTAGAGCGTAGGTTCACCCCATGTGTTCCTTTGATGAGTACTTGAGCACCAGCAGCCTTAAATCCATCATTTCTATACAGCACATGTAGTTTGTCAGGGGTGTGGAAACATAGAAGGGGAAATGTGTTAAAGGAAGGAGGAAGATGGAGGTTGCAATGTTTTCCAGGTTAATACCCTAGGAGCCTTGTAGATGTTCATGCTCTATTATCATACCTTCTGACCACTTGTAGGCTAGGCCAATGTGCATATCCAAAGGCCCCAAGCCTAAAGTCAGTTGTATCTGGAAAGAACCCATAGTGGTCCTGTGGGTGGGTGCAGCATGTTGCGGCAGCAGTGGATACACAGAGTCCGGTTGCAAACAGCAAAACGTATTGAAGTCAAGGCTCAACAATACAAACAACCCAGCGGGAAGGCGCCCAACCAGGAACACTCACATTTCTTAATAAGAATGTAGAGCAGAGTAGTTGCTGCGCCCAACGGGGAGGATTCCTGGAAAGGATAGGGTGTCCCTATCCTGTCCCTACTCATCCGGAACCTTTCCCTACCGCTATTCGCTTTCCCTGACAGATGGATGACCTGTCCCTACACTGTCCACTCGCAAAATGCGCGTCAAGCCCGGGAGCCAGGATCTTAAAAAGACTCTGCCTGAACCAAGATGGCCACCAGAATCACATGGGGTAACAGCATCCAACCAGAACGCTTCCCCAGTGACCTAGGAAACCATAGAGGAGTATGTTCCTCCTAACTTTACCTCCCTGTGCAATACCGCTGTGGTTGAGCACCACCTGCAGTGGAGAAAAGTGACTGCACCTGCCTACAATACAAGTGCAGGTCTCTTAAGAACAGCTAGAAGGTTTCAAATGCAACATTGCACCATCTGCCTGGAACGAAAGCTTGGGTGTGCTAATAGTTCATTTGTTTAGTTGTTCCTGAGAGTTAATTATTGTAAGAATGTGCTGGAATGTTTTGGCTGTGTGGGAAAAAAGGCAGCATGGGTTTAGGTTCATGAGTAGGGCTGGATGGATTAGGGTTAGACATATTGTTGTATATAGTTTT